TATTTTCAATAATGTTAGATAATATATTTTGTAGATTTCTTGAATGACTTGTGACAAAGATGTTAGTTTTAGCCTAACCACAAGCTTCACCCGTTGATTTCTCTTTTCTCAATCCAAGTCAACTAAAAATATATATTTCTTGCATCTCATTCTCAATAAATCCATGTGTGGTATAGTATTTTTATCTTGGTTTTTTTTTTTTTTTTTTTTTTTTTTTTTTTAAGAATAAGTTCGAGCGAAGCACCAATTCAAAGGAATTATATTAGCATTAGACATCTTTGCTTTCAAGTATCAAAATGGTGCCATCAAGATATCCTGAACCATACAATCTTTCTGACTCTCGTGTGTTCCATTCCATTAAAATATGTCAATCTTTGTGAAAGGGAAATGAATATAAAAAGTAATAAAAAGACATTTTCTACATTCAATCCTTGGACCACTTAGGGGCGCTTACCAAAGGTTTGAAGCTGCCAATTTGAAACCCTTTTCTCTTTTCTTTAACATTATTTTACAAGACTTTCTAAATTTCACATCTTTTACACGCTACAAGATGTGAATAGTGTGAAAGAATCGTATGAACGAAGAAAGAATCACGTACGTATATAATAATCATACAAAGCATAAAAGTACATATTATAACACAACATATTTATTGAAAAGAGCACGCAAGTATGTAGTGACAAAATACAAAATTTATTTCTTGTTCTATAGATAGATGCATGTCTATTGTAGGACCAAGTGAAGCTTCAAGGAGAAGGGTCAAATGGTGTTTTAAATTTTAGTCTGCAAGTTACTTGAATATATAAAGCGTGTTTCACAATTTATAATTTACCTTTATATATATACACACACACACACAAATTTTTTTTTTAAAATTAAATTTTATTCATTATATCATTCAATCATACTCAATAATATCTACTAAACGTACATTCAAGTTACAGTTTAATAGCCTGATATATCTGGACTAAATATATGCATAAAATGCCAATAGTTAATAATCAATCTGACGTATCTTGTTGGGTTTTTACGCAGCAGGTGGAAAAATCAATTTTCTGTTGAATTATTATATCAGCCTTGAGCATAATAATAATAATAATAATAATAATAATAATAATAATAATAATAATAATAGTATTACCTTGCCACGGGTGATATATATTCTCACCCTTAAGTTTTGTATTTGACTAAGAGATACAAAATAAGATCACGAGTGATCACGACTATAAAACTTTTATTGACCTTGTGTGTCTTAATCGTAGAACACGTCATACTCAAGAAGGAGAAAGAGAAAGAGAGAGTTTATATTTATCTTGCTCAATTAAGTTCGAAAAAGAGTAATCCCAACTACCTGAGATCTACAGGTTTCTAATTCTGCCTTTTAATTAATAATAAGCAGATATTTAGAATTTTGTGACAATTAGACAAAGAGGAATCACATATATATGAGGTTAGCTTTGTTAACAAGCTTTTGGGGATTTTAAATATTTAAATACCAACATAGCGGATGATGATCACAATTAATAATGCATGGTATTGCTCGATACTAAATGATGAATCGAGCCAAGTGGGATTTGGCCCGAAAACTTGGAAGTGAAAAGGAGTAGCCACCTTTGAAAGTTGGGAGGGAATTTTCTTGTGGCCAATTGTTGTCTGCCAAGTGGGACTTGGTTTTGACATGTATGCACAACATGGACCTTTACTTTTTTCGCATGGACTAAGATTTTGTTTTAAATTGCATTCTTGTGGTCGTAAAACTTCAGCCACGAATCAATTAAAGGATACCAAATCCACTGATAGGAACATATTTCTTCATAAATTTTGAAATTTGTTTTGGTGACACCCTTGTAAGTTTGAAATTGAGAGTTCGGTACATTCTATTTTAGTGTCTTTTTCGGGGGACAAAAATCTATTTGGCGAACGTGAGTATTCCCTTTGCATGATGCGCTCTTGTGATTTTGAGAATAAAATGATACAAATTAACCAACAAAAGAATGGTGCACAACACCTTTCACAACCCCCTCATGTAAGGAGGCTGTACTTTGTACGGTCGAGAAGAAAAACCGCTAATAAAATACATGTTGCAACATGATGTTCATCAAACATTTCATTAGCAATAAGCTTCGGCCTTCGGAGCCCATTAATAATAGTCCATCTCTAATGGGCCCATCCTAAGGTTGCTCTAGTAGCCTCAACTACGTGCTAAAAGTAGTCCATCATAGATAGGCCCAATCCAAAGATGGTCCATTGATCGAGCCCATTATCCAAGACACTCTATGACCCCTGTTTGTGGTTTATTAAAAATAAAAATAAAAAATCATATTTTTAATAAAATTTGATGAATGCGTGATTAAAAAATTATGAATTCCATAAAATATATAATTGAAAATAAATTTTAAAAAATGGAAGCCAAACAGGGACTATATACAACACTCCAAAGTAGTATTAGTAAATATAGAAAAAGAATAGTAATGAATCCCACAAAATTTATAAATAATGAATGAACAGTATTTATAAATAATTTAATATTTAATAACTTTTTAGCAAAACCAAAAAGAGATTAAATCCTTGCTTAGTCTTGATAAAAATTAGACTTTTAGTAAATTTTGATAAAATTTGATGAGTAGAAAAATTGATGAAATGTATGAATCCAATAAAATGTATTATTATTGTTGACTTATATTTTTATCAACTTTAGTTAAACCAAACAAGTATTTAGCTCTCATTTGAGCCACATTATTGTAAAAATGAGAATGAAAAATATAGTCGTTGTGAACCCCACACAAGAGATAAAAAGTCAAATAAAATGATTTGATGTGATTGATAACGTTCATGTCAAGATTTGGGGTCCATCTTAATAAGGTCAATCTTGTTAAGAGGAGTGTCCCAATTCTTTATATATTGGTCATTATTTCGGTATTTTATCGATGTGGGATTATATTCCCTTAACATGCCCCCGCAAGATGGTGGCTCGTTTGAGCAGACCAATCTTGAAATCCGTGTGCTCATTTTTAGAGACTTAATCGGATCGAATCGCTCGTTGGAGCTTAATGGGCTCTGATACCATGTCAAGATTTGGGGTCCATCTTAATAAGGTCAACCTTGTTAAGAGGAGTGTCCCAATTCTTTATATATTGGTCATTATTTCGGTATTTTATCGATGTGGGATTATATTCCCTTAACAGTTCATATTTTTCATTTTAATGAGGGAATAATGGAGATCAAACAGGGCCTTAGTCTCTTGAACAAATAATCAAGCAATTTCTGATTCCTAACTCTCTGAAAAAAAAGATGGTTCCGAATCCACCTTCTCCTACCTCTTCTTCTCGATCCTCGTCTTCTTCATCGTGATTCACCCGTGAATTCAACAGAAAAATCAACACACACATGGCGCCGCCCAGTCTTGGCTTAAGAAATCTCTCGATAAGGCGCCAAAATTATTCAAATCATTTCTTAAGACCGCGATCCATTATCCACGCCTGTCCAGCACTTCTCCACTGGATTATCCATCCTTGCCTCCCATTGGTTAATGCACTTATATTCCTTAATTCAGGTTTCTTTTCTTTTTCCCGATTTCTCTTCTTCCTTTTTTATGTTCCAAGAAATCTACTGTCTGTGTTTTCCTGTGGGTTTTAAGGAGTTTATCTAAACTTTCTTTAGCCTCTCAACTAGAGTTTCTTGGCTAACACAACAGGATTATAAGAATTTATTCTTTAGCATTTCTTGGTTATATCAGGGACTCATTGTTTCGCCCCAGGCCACATTTTCAATGTTATCGGGGTAGAATGCATTTGGGGGTAACTTCAACAAGCAAGTTTGCAGATCCAATCAAGAACACATTACTCCAGACTCATGGCACAGTATTTGCAAATGTTTACAGAAATTCAGCCCCCTGGAAAAGGTTTGTCTTCTCCATGTCACGGCTGTTAAAAAACCCAGTATTTTTGTTGGAGTTTTAACAGCAAATATTTGGCCAGAAAGCAGATGATGTAAATAAGATACTTCATACATCTACATGTCCTTTTATTAGTCAACAAAGTTTAAATCAAAGAAAATGAGAACTGCTTTCAGTTTAACTGTATATTCTAGCACATTTAGGGATCATTTATGTAATATGTGATGTGAAGATGAATGAAAAGCAAAAACAATCCTTTCAACTGAAACAAGAAAGCAGCATATCCACGGTACCACCAACGAGCTAATGCATAATAATAAGGTTGAACAGATATGCGCAATTCTTGAAATGGTTGTGCTACACCTACATCACGACTTACAAGTCGGATTTGTTTACCAAGAGATAATGTGGCAATATTTAATTGTTTAAAAATCTCACCAACCGAATAAAAATAAATAAATTCCCCCACTTTCTTCGTCGCCTCATTAACCTGTAAAAGAATTTGTAAATGTGGTACAAGAAGCTTTTTCCATCTTGAAATACCTGGCAAAAAACAAAGGTGCAATAAGAGTACAAGTAAAATCAGCACCGCCAAGCATAAACAGCTGCCTCACTTGAAACTCGAATACCCAAGAGCGGACAAATGGTACAGACTCTGGCCAATAATACGAGCATTCCTCCAACAGGTGGTCACTCCAGTGTCGAGGTTCTGTATTTGCAAAGAGCATTGTTTTCACCCATAAAACTATCATCCATTACCATCTCATCTGCGCTTATCTAGCAACCAGTTTGCATTGGGAAATTGACACCTCATTTAAGAACTAGTAAATAAATATAAAAGCCAGCCTTTGAATATATATTTTACCATCTCAACGGCAAAATTTACCCATTTCTTGGTACAAAAATTTCATCAAACATGAAGCAGAATTTATTATCAGTGACATGTGACACACAGGTGACATGTATATATGCCCTTCCTTTCATTTTTACTAGATTCTGCTCCAAGCTTAAAGAATCATGATTCAACAATTTATGGCACATGCAGCTAACAGGAATTTATATTAAAACTTAATGTAAAAACAGAATCGAATGAACAAAAAAGAAATTGTTCGCAAATGGATGCATACTTCAATTTCATCCCTTTTAAGGATGCTTTAATTAATATGAACTATCAGAAGATGTAAAATACAACGTGGATGAAAATGCTGAAACTAGAGCAACGCCCAAAACAGTAAAGTACAACTGTAAATGTTTACACTAGGTCTTTGAAAATACTAGATTATGGTCAAACCACGTCAAAAAGAAGAGTAGAATAAAGCTCGTGCTCTTTTTATATCCTATATTCAACAATAAATTTCAAGCATTATGTCCCATTGCACTACATAAATTAAAAGACCTAGGTAATACGAAGAGTCTATATTATAATTCCTCATCACAAGCCTCGGCTGCAGCTATTTCAGAATCCAATTTGTCAATCAACTGCTCGCTTACGTGTTTAGCAACAGAAATCATGTCAAGTATAATGCTTGGGTCTAGACCTGCACCACCACGTTTGGTCAGTCCACATATTCTCCCTTGCCTATTGACAGAAATGGAGACGGCTGAACTCATTTGGGACTCCTCTTCTGCAGTTGCATCTACAATATAATGTCTACCGACCTGCAAAATTGGTCAAGTGGAAAATAACAATTATTATGTTGCATAAAAGTTTCGCATTTCAAAGAAGAAAAAAAAAAACTCTAATAACCGTCTTACTTTTGTTAAAGTAATTATGACAGGGATTCCAATCGTGTCAAACTGTAGAAATTCCTCATCACTTACATCAACCTCTGGCTGCTCGTCTGATGAGGCATTGGCTGCGACTTCAACTTTTGGGATAGCTGTATTGCTAAGAGCAGCCTGGAAGAAAAATAATCAAAAAGCAAACCGGTATTAACAAAAAAATTGCTTTCCAATTGGAATTATAATGCAATGAGAACCTTAAAGAATGAAGAAAAAGATCACCTTGTCATCTACATCCCTGATGGCAAAACCATAACACAATAAGAGCAGGTTCAGATATGTTACTTTTTTCTTACCTTTATAATAGAAAAGGCCACTTAAAATGAGTAACTAACTTATTTATAAATTTGACCATAAAAAAATATTTACTGAACTTATTTACTCATAAGAAACTTTTTAAGCTTATCTAAACATTCTCTCAATCCTCAGTGTCTTCACCTTTTACTTTTCATATATATGTCAGAAAGAAATGCATATACCTTAATGGCAGCACCCAAGGCATCCAGTAAATTTCCATCTGAACTAACCACGAGGCCATCAATATAAATATCCCAACAAACCTTGCCCTCAACAATTGACAGAGACGAGAGATCGATCCCAGCCCCTGCGGGGAAATTTATACAAGGGGGAATTACAAAGGTTTAAAGGTTTCCCTAGTTTCATAGAAAATAAAGTAATATGAGATTAATTACTAAGCACTTGTACCTGCTCCACTTTTTCCACCCAAGAGACACCGTTGAAGTGCTGTAGACAGTTCAATAGATAATTCCTCACCGCCTCTACCCTGTGTGAATAAAAGATTCAGAAAACCATGAGACGACCTCCTCAAGGCAGGCAGGGAAAATTGGGAAACAGTAGTTTTACAAAGATGGGAAAATCAACTGTCACAGATAGTAATATACACTTATCATGTGTATCCTAACATAGGAGGGGAGATGGAATCATAATATTGCGATTCAAACCAAGACAAGAAAGGGCAGATGAAACTGTCTTGTTGCAGCAGTGGATATGACATCACTAAAATGGGACATAGAGGGTGTTTGAGGGCATTTTTATGTAAAAATGCATTTTTGAATAATATATTGATGGGGAATGTGTGGTTGAAAAATAAGGAAAAGTTTTTGATTTACGTGTAATATTATTTTAATAAAAAATGTGTGGTTGAAAAGAAGAGAGAAAAATGTATTTTGAAAAAAATGGGTACCAAACAGGGCCATAGTTTAAATTTAGCCTCCAATGATCCTTAAAATCTAAATGTCCACAGATTTTTAATGTTCTCTTCTGGTCATTCAATTTTCTTGATCAAAAAGCTAATTCTTAATAGTATAATGAATAGAGATGGGTATCTTGTTCTCGATAACACAACAATGGGGAATGCCAATGACCATGAACATTAAAGCCCACAAATCAACAACTACAATAATTACTAAAGATTGACAACAAAGTTTCATTTCATCCCTGGAAATGCCACCTAAGAATACCTAAAACTGAACTATACCAAGTTAACCATTAGGGAAGCATTAGCGATCACACAATGTGTTATTGGAAAAAGAAAAAAAAGTGAAGATGAAGAAAAGAAGACAAAAGTATTCCATTAGAATCCCAGGAACTTTATCTTGAGTGACATCCACCTTGTATGCACAAATCTTGTGCAGTTATATACACAATATTGAAAGATAGTCCCCTCCTGTAAACCCACCACCTCCCAAATACCGTCACTTATGAGCCTTTGAGTTCTACAAACTTTTAAGTACAATATCTAATATCCTATATAGCATCATGGTCTATTTACCAGGTAAACTATTAGAAGATGTTCCAGAAGGTCATATGTTAACAAATTGAGTTAGAAAACTTGATGTTTTACAAGGTACCATATTTGCTTCAACTAAGATCATGTTGTCATTTCACTCATATTTTTAATATCAAGAAACTAAACTCGAGCACCCAGTTATAGATAACTAAGAAGCAAAAAAAGAAGTTAGCAGAACCTCAAAAGTTGGTTCAGCTGTCGGACTGCAATCAACATATATGGAAACCCTTCCTTTGTCAGGATGAGATGCATTCGGCTTTCCAAGCTCAGCCTGCGTATGAAAGACACAGGTTGTAAATTGGCATCTATTATCATTTATCAGAAAAAATACTCAGCAAAGCCCAAAAGGATCCATAGGCAGTTGCCAATAGGGTAAGTACTAAGACAATGTGTAATACCTTCACACTTGCAATCACATCTGTTGCACCCATCTTGACTCTTGCTGAGCCACTTGCCTTTTAACAAGGACAAAACATTTAGCATGAAAATTATAAAAATATGCAAATAATAAATCTGCAAAACAACACACTCTCCACCTGTGGTATGACACCGGTCTCCACAGAAACGGGCCGGTAAGTAAGTCGTTTACGACCATCCGTTCGAATATCTTGAGCTATTCCCCCCTTTATAAAGTTCTTCTCTCCAAGGGAAAGCCCCATCTTAACTGAACTAATGTTGAAGAACACGCATTAAACTTTACAAAGTTAATTTAATAAAATGTTCACAAACAAACTTTACAAAGTTGATTTTACATTGTCCACAAACAACAACCATGAAACTTGAACAAAAACATCAGGAATAAGAAATATAAGACTGTGTTGTGGATGTTGACACGTCAAGAATCTACAAAGATGGCCTTTTCTAGTTACCATTGTTAAACGTAGTAGAATGAGATAGTCTGCAGAATGCAGGGGCGGATCTAGGAAACTATTCCGGCTAGACCGGACTGGGTAAAGGCAAAAAACCAAAAAAGAAAAGAAAGATGATGAAAAAGAAATCATAATCAATGAATATTTGAAATTCTAAAATTTTTAAATTTTAGTTGAAGAATATTGAATTTACTTCTAAGTGAATTCAGTCCGAGACAACTCTTTGAATTTTGAAAGCACCTCAAAACCATTCAAAAAACTATTGCTGCTACCTTCTGCTCTTCTTAGATGTTGGCATTTGTTCCTTCCTTCTTTTAATAAGTAGGTTATGGATTAAAAAGACAATATGATTGACGTTTCAGCAAAATTCAAAATTAAAAACTATTATATTCTTAAATAGCCTAGCTAAGAATTAAAAAAGCCTAAAACCTAAAATAATGTTCAGCTAAATTCAAAATTAGAACGTTGAATATATGGACATTGCAAAATAATCATATAAAATTCAAATTTAAATTGAAAAAACAAAAAATGAAAATAAAATAGGAAATGATTAAATCATTATTTACCTAAACAGCAAGCAACTTAATGTACGATGGAGTGGAGTCCCCGGCGGGATGGAGAAGATTGTGTGTTTAAGACGAGGAATGGGTTTTCAGAATCTTCAAAATATTATTTTAGGTCGGAGAGCGAAGAGCGCCGCTGCAAGTGCCGACCGAGCGGCAGAACTATAGACAGAGTGCGTAGGGAGTTGATAGAGATAGAATAGATAGAGAAAGGGGCAGGGTGCGTGAGTGGGGAATAGGGTTTGCTGGGGAGTTGAAATCCGGTTCACATTGTGTTTTAAATTTTAAATAAATTATTAAAATTTTAGTTACCCTCTGATTTTTGAAAAATAAAAAATTATAAATCTTAATTTTGAATTGAAAATTTTAAAAGACGATTGCTTGTAATTTCCACTTTAAAAAATCATTAACCTATACCATAATTACGGAATGCTCATCAAATTTCATCATGCTTTACAATACTCACTCAGCTCTACTTATTAGTACTTCAACTATCGCCCTGATAAATTTGTTCTGTTAGTTGTTGACATGGCAAATGAAATTTTGATATGGCATCTAACATCCGCTAAAATGAAGCCAAATTCACCTCCAAAAGCCAACTCAAGTTATAACGTATTTTCCTATAAATAACGTTATTTACAATCGATTACTATTGTAGTCGTCATATATAATATACATGCGACGGACAGTGATGTGATATATTAATATGATAGTTTTTTATTATCTTATGTGACAAATCACTAGTTGTCACGTATATACAAATAACATTATTCTTTTTCAAACACATTTTTGCCTTCCCAAAATAGTAATAAAATAAAATCAACACGTTTTGTCCATCTTCAAAACCAAAATCATCTAAGTCACGTCCCCCAAAATCAAATTTCATCCCCATCACCCCCGTAAGCTTCTCCTTAGAATTGATATCCTTCATTTTCCTGGGCATAAGGTTCAAAAACTCGGGGAAGTCAATGGTTCCATTATCATTGGCATCAACCTCGTTTTATCATGTCCTGAAGCTCAGCTTTGGTCAGATTCTACCCAAGGATCTCATTACAGTACCGAGCTCCTTAGTTTTGATGCACCATAAAGACTAGCATTTGTTAAAAATCATTATTTTTCATGTCACATTGTTGATCGATTCTAGGATCCAATTAAACATTATTTCGATAAAAGATTAGCGAATAATGCTCTTTTTCTCTCAACTTTCAACTGTAGATTGAAATAGATCTGATACATAAACAAAAAACCCCAAACTTAAATATATACACAAGATTTTCATCTATACGCAAGATTTTCTCATCTAACCTATTTGAAAAATTACGAGGAAGAGCTCACAGAATTGCCTGTTTCGAAAGCCAATGAAGGGTTCGGGAATTTTCTGGGAGCTCAAACAGTGTGTTTTGCAAAAGCATGAGCTCTATTTCGTTGGAATTGGAAGTTGCGTCTTTGATTTTCAATGAAGACGTGGGTGGCTTACAGTCAAACGATGGTTTGTGTTAAATTTCATATGAATGAAGCAATTTTTCATTATCCAAAACGCCATGAAGGAAAGCATTATTGATATCAAGTTGATGAAGATGCTAATTACAGGCTGCTGCAATCGCCAATACACAACAAATAGTAACAAGTTTGGCTACAGGAGCAAAAATGTCATGATAATCAAGGCCCTCAACCTGAGTGTAACCTTTGGCCACCAACTGAACTTTATACCTTTCAATGGAACCATTGGCATGTAATTTAGTTTTGAAGACTGAGTTACAACCAATGGGTTTCTTACCAAGGGAAAGTGGAGTAAGATACCAAGTATGATTAGATTCAAGAGCTCAAAGCTCGGCCTGCATAGCATTACACCAGTAGAAATGCATAGCAGCTTGAGAGTAACTGGTATAGTCAGAAAATTGTAAGAGAGCAGATAAAAAAAACAAAATGAATAGTGGAAAATTTATGATAAGAGCAAAATGAGAGAGGTGATGAACCGTACCAGAAGATGTGACTGCAGTAGTGGAAGACGTAACAGAAGAAGTTGAAGGTAAGATATAATAGACATAATCAACAAAGCGGGTAGGACGGTGTAGAGTACGAAGATGAGTATGAGGGGGGTTGCAAGAGGATCTGGAGGAGGGAAAGGATTTGTTGGTAGGATAGGAGGTTTAGGAATAAGAAGTGGTAAGACAATGGGTATGAAGGCATGTTGGGCTACATGTTGGAAGGGGAAAACATGTTCGATAAAGGTGACGTCTCTAGAGATGACGATCTTTTTGGTTTCGAGGTCATAAACCCGATATGCATTATGAGAGGAATGATATCCTAAGAAAACACAAAGACGAGCTCGAGGTTGAAACTCATCAGGCCGGGCAGAAATGGTATTGATATAGCAAAGCCAACCGAAGACGCGTAAATGATCATATTTAGGAGCATGGTGGTAAAGGCGCTCAAATGGGGAAATATTTCGTAGAGAGGATGATGGAGTTCGGTTAATGAGGTATGTAGCGGTGAGCACGCACTCTCCCTAAAAAGTAAGAGGAAGGTGAGCTTGAAAGCGTGGCCACCGAGCTACGTTTAAAATATGGCGATGCTTTCGCTCAGCAACATCATTCTATTGTGGTGTTTTCACACAAGTATGTTCATGAAGGGTGCTGTGTTCTGCAAAAAAATCTTGTGTATTGTGAGCAAGGAATTCTTGGCCATTGTTAATACGTATGTGACGTATTTTGGAATTGAATTGTGCGTTAATCATAGCAAAAAATGTACGGAGATAGGTCAAAGTTTCAGATTTAAAACGCATTAAGTATACCCACATGACTTCAGTAAATTCATCAACTGCAGTTAAAAAATAATGAGCGCCAAACGGAGAAGTAATATGATAATCACCCCAAATATCACAAAACATGCAGTCAAAAGGCAACAAACTTTATTAGCAACTAATTTAAAAGGTAAACGAGTATGTTTGCCACGACTACAAGCATCACAATGATCAATAACTTACGGACGTAAAAATATTATGTAAAGAAGGGTGACCCAAACGTTGATGCCATGTATTGAACGTGATATGACTGGAAGACTGGAGAATAGTTGGTGGGGCATGCTTGAAATATTATAGTTCATTACGCTCTTCACCCACGCCAATTAGCATTTTCGTGGCTAGGTCCTGAAAAGTACAGAAAGTAGGAAATAAAGACAACACAATCAAGAGATTTCGTTAATTGGCTGACAGGATAATAAATTAAATTGAAAATCGAGAACAAATAAAACATTGGAGAGAGTTAAACGAAGAGATAAAGATAAATCACCTATAGACAATATGGGCATATGTGTACCTATAGGTAAAGAAAAAAGGGGAGGCGATTGGAAGATTTTAAATTAGTGAGGAAGCAAGTGGTGATATGGTTTGTTGCCCCACTGTCTATTACCAATGGAGCCGTGTTATGGGAAAAATTAGAGGGAGAATTTGGGGATAAAATTGGGTCTTGACTAGAGGTACCGGCGAATGCCATAGGAGGAGATTTTAACAGTTCCAATAATTGATTGTATTGCTCGGTGGAGAGACTTGGGGCGACACTCTTGGTGGAGGAGCATTGATTGACCGTGACCTGATGCACCATTAGAGAAGGTGTTCGAGCCATGTTTCGTTTGCTTTTGGATGGCCACCAATCTGGATATTCCAAGATTTCAAAATATTTGTTACGAGTGTGGCTCGATTTACCACATTCTTCACATAGAAGAGGTCCCGATTGGTCGAACATGGAGTGGACGGGAGGTCTCCTGCTGCGACAAGCGAGCTAGGAGTGCTAAAAAAATTTATCTAGAGGAGGTGAATTGAAGCTGTTGTGTCTCTTCATGGTGTCATATAGCATAACATCACCCGATCGACAAAAGCGGGTCCATAGCCAAAATCTGTGAACAAAGCTGCTGAAAACCGTCATTTAGACCTAAGAGAAATTGATAGACACAATCAGATTCTTGGGCTTCAGATAAGCATTTGGATGCTCTGCAGATACATGAAACAATTTTTTGCAAAGAGGCTAATTCATCCCATAGCTCTTTCAATTTTCCGTAGTAGTTAGTAATTGATTGGTGTTTTGGCGAAGATTGGCAAGGTCATGTTTGAGGCTGAAAATTTTCGTCTTGTTGCTTTGCTGAAATCTGGTTTCCAGTTCAACCCATAGGTTATTGGGCATTTCACAATAAAGGAGGCTTCCAGTGAAAGATCAATTAATGGAATGAAGTAACCACGACATTATCATGTCGTAACATCGATCCCAAAGAAGTGCAGTAGCTGTGTTTGTGGTGGGGCGTTTGATGGTACCAAGGACAAATCCTAGTTTATTTTTAGCATTCAAGGTGCGGTTTATCAATCGACACCGGGCAAGGTAATTGTATCCATTTAGAAGAGCATCAACAAGGTGTTGGTTTGGTTGGTCGGATGTGTGCACATAATTGGGAAAAAAACATCTATAAGAGATTTGTTGGCATCCAAGACAGGTTCGGCCATGGCAGAGGCGAGGGTATGGATTTTCGAAACCTAATGCTCTGATACCGTGTTAAATTTCATATGAATGAAGCAATTTTTCATTAAATTGTGATTCAATATACAGTGGAATATATAATACACGTGTAGTTGGCTGTAATAGGAAACAAAACTAATATAGGAATGAAAATATGTAAGATATTGACAAAATGGAAAGATATTTTTAATTTCTGTTAATAGTTTGACTGTTGAACTAGATGTGAGTTATGTTCGTATGGATGGAACATTTTGTTTTCTTTTGTAATGGGTGATGATCTAAGAATAAGGGAAAAAAAGAAAGAAAGAAAAAGAGAGAATGACATGGAAGATGGAGGAGAAAATGGAATATGATAATTTATTTATTTGGATAGGTAAAAATGTGTGTAGAAAATATATTATATGCTTTGTTGGCTTTTGGAGGTGAGTTGTCCTCATTTTAACATATGACAGACGCCACATTGGATTCTTTCTATCGCATCAGTGACTAACGAAACGGATTTTTCAAAGTGATGATGAAGTGCTAACGGGTAAATTTGAGTGAGCATTTGCAAAGTATAATAAATTTTGAGGAGCAGTCTGTGATCATGGTAAAAGTTTAATAACTTTTAAAACAATTTAATCCAAAAAAGCGGGAGTTGGGGATGATTTTCATGACAATATCATGACTTCTTTGAAACTAGAGAAACAATGTTATAGAAATTGCGAAATAATTATAAAAATATAATGTGCAAAAATTA